CCAAGTTCATCCACGTTATGCGGTGTTTTGCAGATTCTACATTATTCTTTAGCGTTGCATAGTATTCCATTGTGTGAATGTACCAAAGTTTTGATTATAACCATTCTGGCAAGTGAAAAGGTGTCTCATTATAGTTCTGATTTGCATTTCCCTCATGGCTAGTGATTATGAGCATGTTTACATGTACTTACTGTCTCTTTGTAGATCTTCTTTAGGGAACTGTCTGTTCACATCCTTTGTCCATTTTTTTTATTGGGTTGCCTTTTTATTGTTGAGTATTTTTTAATAATCCTTTTTATTTCTGTACAATTGGTACTGATGTTCTCTCTTTTTATTCCTGATTTTAATAATTTGATTCTCCTCTTTATTTTCTTTTTATTATTGAGTTATAAGATCACTTTATATATTCTAGATACTTATCAGATATATAATTTGCAAATATATGTATTCTCCTTTCTCCTATTTTATGGGCTGTCCTTTCCCTTCATGGTATTATTTACAACAGAAAAGTTTTTAATTTTGTTAACATCCAATTTATCTATTTTATATTTGTTGCTTTTTTGGTATCATAGCTAAGAAAGCTTTATGTAACCTAAAGTCATAGAGATTTACTCCTATATTTTCTTCTGAGAGTTTTATAGTTTTGGTTCATACCTTTAAGTCTTTGATCTATTTGAGTTGTTTTTTGTGTATGGTATGAGGTAGGGTTTAAATTTCATTCTTTTCCACATGGATATTCAGTTGTCCCAGGACCATTTGTTGAAAAGATTGTTCTTTACCCCATTGGATTATCCTGGCACCCTTACAGTTTCTTTTCTGATACAGTTTCTTTTCTGATACAGTTTCTTTTCTGATACAGTTTTGTAGGACTAATTCCAGGCCAAAACACTGATTTACTGTGTTTTTTACCTTTTAATTATATTAGAAAACTAAGTAGTTACTTTACTTTTTAAAGCTAATGAAGTAGGCATTTTTCAGATAACTATTTTAGGCAAGGCAATGTGATAAGCCTAAATGTATTAGGTGTATCAGTTAACTCTGTTTTTTACTTACTACCAAAGACACAGGGAGGCCGACTCTCCTGATGCACAAGAGGAAGACAGAATCACCATCAGTAGCCCAAGGCCTATCCCTGTGAGGCCAGACATGCTGCCTCCCTCCAGCCCTTTCACCAATCATGACACCAACTGTTCCTCCCATAGTACCCACCATCTCTGCTGGGTTCTATAATTCGCTGCAGTGGCCACATAGAACTCACAGATTATGGGGTTTATTAGGGAACCAGGCTACAATTCAAGTTCAGGAACAATGCTCAGTATGTCTCAGCCCACCATCTCTCAGTCAACAGTCTCTTTCAGTCTTTCTCCCAGTGATGTGTGTCTTTCAATGTCTTTCTCCCAGGAATGTGTGCCTTTTGTTGTCTCTTTCTCAGTAATGCGTGTCTCTCAGGAGTGTGTTTCTCTCGGCATTAAGTCATTCTCAGTCAGCAGTCAGAGAGATGTCTTCTGCCCTAGAAGGGCTCCTTTTGAGGCCAAACTAACCAATCCCAGCATCAGAATTCTATACACCTGAGAGAAAGCGAACTTCCCAGAAAGTTACTTTGTGCTGCTCCCAACAGAAATACTCCAGGTGGATGACTTTAACAATCAGGAACTACTCAGTTGCTCACAGCAAATTCTGCCACGGAGTTTGCAAAGGCTTATGGCTAGAAAAGCCACACTATGTAATTTACTACACTTATCCAATTTCATTCTTGAAATTTTTGTTTTTAAGTTAATTCTCCTCTTAGATTGAATCAACCCATATTAGGGAATGGCTGTATTATTCAGTGGATTATGATCCATTACTAGATTTATTTTGATGCTCACTTTGTCCTAGATTTTGCTACTTGTATTTATCAGGCCAGTAAAACAAGCACCCCTGATGTTGGCATCACAGATGCTTCAGAACAATATTTTCTATTGTAAGTATGCCAACATAAAAGAAAATACCAAAATGGATGTCAGAAGAAACTCTGAAACTTGCTCTTAAACATATAGTAGCTAAAGCAAATAGAAGAAATGATGAAGTAAAAGAGTTGAAGAGAATATTTCAAAGGGTAGCTCAAGAAGACAAGATAAAGTATTATAATGAAATGTGCAAATACCTGGAATTGGAAAACTAGAAGGGAAGAACAGCTCAGCATTTCTAAAGGTGAAAAAACTAATAGAGAAATTCAAGCCTCAAATTGCAATGCTGAAAAATTCTGTGGGCAAAATATTGAATGACACAGGAAGCATCAAAAGAAGATGGAAGGAATACACATAATCATTGTACCAACAAGAATTGGTTAACATTAAACCATTTCAGGAGATAGCATATACTCAAGGACAAATGGTATTGAAGGGAGAAGTCCACGCTACAGTGAAGGCATTGATGAAAAACAAGGCTTAAGGAATTGATGAAGTACCGTTTGAGATGTTTCAACAAATGGATGCAATGCTGGCAGCACTTACTCATCTATGCCAAGAAATTTGGAAGACAGCTACCTGGCCAACTGACTGGAAGTGATCCATATTTATGCCCATTCCAAAGAAAGGTGATCCAACGAAACACAAATAATCAAACTATATCATTAATATCACATGCAAATAAAATTTTACTGAAGATCATTCAAAAATAGTTACAGCAGTATATTAATTGAGAACTGCTAGAAATTAAAGCCGAATTTAGAAGAGGACATGAAATGAGGGATATTGTTGATGTTATCAGATGGATCTTGGCTGAAAGCAGAGAATACCAGAAAAATGTTTACTTGCATTTTGTTGACTGTGTGAAGGCATTTGACTGTGTGGATCATAACAAATTATGGATAACATTGCAAAGAATGGGAATTTCAGAACACTTAATTCTGCACATGAGGAACTTTACATAGACCAAGTGCAGTATAGTAAATTTCCTGGTATGGCTTTTCTAGCCATAAGTCTTTGTAAATGCTGTGGTAGAATTTGCCATGAGCAACTAAGTAGCTCCTGATAAAGTTATCCACCTGGGGTATTTCTTTTGGGAGCAACACAAAGTAATTTTCTGAGAAATTCACTCTCTCACAGGTGTATAGAATTCTGATGTTGGGATTGGTTAGTGGTCACTCTGCAAGGCTCAGAAGGAGCCCTTGTAAAGGCAGAAGAAGTCTCTCTGACTGCTGGCTGAGAGAGATGTGCTCCTGAGAGACATGTGCTGCTGAGAGAGAGACACCGAGAGACATACACTGTTGGGAGAGAGATTGTTGGCTGAGAGACGGTAGGCTGAGAGAGACTGTTTTTCCTGAACTTGAATTGTAACCTGGTGCTTCCCTAATAAACCCCATAATTTGTGAGCTCTGTGTGGCCACTGCAGCAAATTATCGAACCCAGCAGAGAGGTGGTGGGTGCTGTGGGAGGAACAGTTGGTGTCAGGGTTGGTGAAAGGGCTGGAGGGAGGTGGCATGTCTGACCTTGTAGGAATAGACCTTGGGCTACTGATGGTGGTTCTGTCTTCCTCTTGTGTGGTTAGAGGAGGTCAGAAGATGTAGCCTCCTTGCCCCTTTTGCAGTTGGTGTCAGAAGCTGTGGGATTTTGCAATGGCTCCAAACTCATAGAAGCATGAGACTTTGTAAAAGAAAGAAGGAAGGGGCCTGGGAAGTGAAACTTTGGATTCTTAGATGGTTACTTTGGTTGGTGTTACCTCTTAAAGAGATAATTGATCCAGAGCCTAGGGCTTTTGGTTACACCCAACCAAAGGCCCAAGGCCATATGCATAGAGTGGGATGGTAATCAAGGTGAAAAAATGAAACTGCAGTGTCTTTAAAAGGATTATGTGTGTCAGATTATGTGTTTATCTGAATATACTACAGGTATTGAATGTTCTCTTACCTGCTGTACATTAGAAATGATTATGGGGTATATGGATAATGGAGAATGTGTAAGTCCGCCTGCAGCCAATACTTGATTGGATATGTTAAAAGGGGAAATAGAATTTGCCCAGGATAAACACAGGCTTTTGTTTCAAGCCATGTGTTTATAGTATAAGGGGGCTTAGATAGAAAACCTAAACCCCACCCAGAACTACTGAGGGAACAGAAAATCTGCATTGAAGACAGGACCTAGAGAGACAGAGAGAAAAATAAAATGACTGTTTGGCTTTTTGAATTTCAGGCAAGCATTTAGGCTTTGGGTGCATTGAGGCAGGAAAGTCATGACCCATGAGAGAAACAAACCCCTTCCAGGACTGAAAGTTAAAGGAAGCCACCGAGTAGCAGGCTTTTATGCTACTCGCTCGTGACCACCTGGGTCCACTTGAGTGGAAATGGGGGAAGAGCAGCAATGAAGAAACGGACTGAGTTTGGTACTCTTTGACCTAGGCCACAAAGGCTGGGGATGAGAGGAAGGGCTGGATGATTTGAAGTGCAATGAGTTGTGAGCCTATGGACATTGAAATAGTCCCTGAAGACTGAGGATGTAAGAGAAAGTACTGGCTGGTCTGAAGGGAAGAGTGTGACTCCCAAACTTGGCAGCTGGTACCCATGACCTAGCTGGGATCGCTAGGGATGAGCTGACCAGATCCCAACCAAGCGAAGAGGAAAGGGTTTGACACTGAGCTGGTATTAAGTTGCTGCAATATGATGGCTTACGCTAGGCTGGACTTTGCTTGTTTATGGATGCAGATGCCTGAAGTTCCCAAGTAGAACAGAAGATTCTCCAGAGAGAAAGGACCATGCTTGTCTCCTCAGAGTACTGGTTTGATAGGGAAGAGCAAATTAGAAATTGTCTATCTAAAATGGGGGAAGATAAAGGCATGAAGTGGCTGGCTTACATGCTTTCATGGGTATGGTTATTCTTAAACTGATGGTTAAGGGGATGTTAATTTTGGTGAGTAAATTACCTGGTATGGCTTTTCTAGCCATAAGTCTTTGTATATTCCGTGGTGGAATTTGACATGAGCAACTGAGTAGCTCCTGATTGTTAAAGTTATCCACCTGAGGTATTTCTGTTGGGAACAGCACAAGTAATTTTCTAGGAAGTTCACTTTCTCTCAGGTGTATAGAATTCTGATGTTGGGATTGGTTAGTGGTCACTCTGCAAGCCTTCTTCTAGAGGCAGAAGAAGTCTCTCTGACTGCTGACTGAGAAAGACATGCTACTGAGAGAAACGTGCTCCTGAGAGACATGCGCTGCTGAGAAAGAGATACCGAGAGACATGCATTGCTGAGAGAGAGACTCCAAGACACATGCACTGCTGGGATAGAGACTGTTGGCTGAGAGACGGTGGGCTGAGAGAGACTGAGTGTTTTTCTTGAACTTGAATTGTAACCTGGTGCTTCCCTAATAAACCCCATAATCTGAGAGCTCTGTATGGCCACTGCAGCGAATTATTGAACCCAACAGAGAGGGTGGTGGGTGCTGTGGGAGGGACAGTTGGTGTCAGGGTTGGTGAAAGGGCTAGAGGAAGGTGGCATGTCTGGCCTTGTAGGAGTAGGCCTTGGGCTACTGATGGTGATTCTGTCTTTCTCTTGTGGTTAAAGGAGGTCAGAAGATGCAGCCTTCTTGCTCCTTTGGCACCAAGAGGCAGTTGTTTGAACAGAGCAAGGGAATATGGAATGGTTTGAAATTGGGTAAAGTCTGAGTAAGGGTTGTACCTTTCACCATCCTTATCCAGTCCGTATGCTGAGCAGATAATCCAGGAAGCTGAACTGTATGAAGAAGAATGTGGTATCACAATTGGAGGCAGAGTCATTAACAACCTGTGATTTGCAGATGATACAACCTTGTTTGCTGGAAGAGAAGAGTACTTGAAGCACTTAATGGTGTGAATTGACTACAGTCTTCAGGATTGGATTACACCTCAACATAAAGAAAACAAAAATCCTCACAATTGGACCAATAAGCAGCATCATGATAAATGGAGGAAAGGTTGAAGTTGTCAAGGATTTCATTTTACTTGGATCCGCAATCAATGCCTGTGGAAGCAGCAGTCAAGAAATCAAACAATGTATTGCATCGGGCAAATCTGCAGCAAAATACCTCTTTAAGTGTTCAAAACCAAAGATGTCACTTTAAGGACTAAGAAGCGCCTGACTTAAGCCATGGTATTTTCAGTCGCCTCATATGCATCTGTAAGCTAGACAGTGAATAAGGGAGACTGAAGAAGGATTAATCTCTTTGAATTATGGTGTTAGCAAAGAATGTTGAATATGCCATGGGCTGCCAGAAGAATGAACAGATCTGTTTTGAAAGAAGTACAGTCAGAATGCTCCTTTGAAGTGAGGATGGTGAGACTTTGTGTCACATCCTTTGGACATGTTACCAGGAGGACCAGTTTCTGGAGAAGAACATTATGGTTGGTAAAGTAGAGGGTCAGCAAAAAAAAGAGGAAGACCCTCAACAAGATGGATTAACACAGTTGCTGTAACAATAGGCTCAAGCATAGTAATGATTGTGATGATTGCACAGGACCAGAGATTGTTTCATATTCACTGGGTGTTGCTATCAGTTGGAACTGACTAGAGAATACCTAGGAATGACAACTACAAGTGCAGCCCTACTGACACCTTGATTTTAACCCAATGATAACTTTTATTGGACTTCTAACTTACAGAATTGTAAAATGACATATTTGTTATTTTAAGCCACTAAGTTTGTGATGGGAGCTCTGGTGGTGTAGTGCCTAAGGCTAACTAGAAGGCTGCTAACCAGAAGCCTGGCGGTTCAAACCCACCAGCCACTCCTCGGAAGGAAGGTTGGGCATTCTACTTCCGTAGTGAAACTGCCTCGGAAACACAAGGAGGGGTCGCTGTGAGTCAGATCTGACTTGACAGGAATGGGTTAAGTTTATGATAGTTTGTTGTTGCAGCAGTGCAAAAACTTACTGAAGAGTATATAACCATCACTGTAGCTTCAACAATTGACACCTCGTGACCAATTTTATTTCATTTCTATTTTTCCAACTGCTCCCTACTTCTTTCCCCACCTGTTATTTTGATGCATATCCCGGTAATATCTTTTCATTTGTAAATTACTTTGTATATGTCTCTAAAGACTCTTAAAGAAATTAAAACATAATGATAGCACCATTATCACATCTAAAACTTTAGGAGTATTTAAGTGTTTATTTTATATTGAAAAATTTAGCAAGAATAGAGAGATGTTGACTATGAGAATGGCATATTATGACTTGTTTAAAAACTCTTCCTGATGTGTTTCAAACACACAACAGTTAAAACATAAATTTTCATTCTGTCCTGTCTTACAGCTTTTATAACATAAGTAAAATACAGATAAACAATAAATAATGCATTTAGGTCTATTTTTATATATTGTTTATTTAGATACAGAGAAATTGGTAGTTTATATATATAATTTTATTTTTTTGGTAGTTTATATTTTATAACAATTATGTGAAAATATGAAAATTAGATTTAATTTCTTCTTGAAATATATTTTTTGCTTTTTTAGGTTGCTGCAAATAAGTCGCAAAATGATTCCAAAAGGTGTAGTTTAAGTCTTCTGCATGCTAAAGAGAGTACTAGAGAAATTAACCACAGGGATAATTGCAGTGGAAAATCCTGTTCTGAAGGATTTTCATTCCCAACAATAGATCCACCCCATACAGGTAAGACTGACTATGTTCATTGTAAACTGTTTCATCAAATAATGTTCTTATCCTCAAGTGCCAAAATAAATTGTTTAAAGATTTGTTTTTTAAATTTTTTTCCAAAGAATGTGTTAATAGTATTGAGAGGTGAATTTTAAATAACAAGTTATTACAATCCATAGCATAACTTCAAATTAGTTAGATTCAAATTATCAAGATATCTAAGTGTAGGATATCCTGTAGGATATCTAAGTGTTCCTGCCCTTATTCTTCCATTGCTGTATTAACATAAGAGTTATGGTAAGAGATCATTATTTTTATTTATTTATTTTTATTGTGATTTGGGTGAAGATTTACAGAACAAATTCACTTTCCATACAGCAGTTCACATACACTTTGTCTCATGACATTGACCACTGTTTACCACAATGCAACAGCTCCCCTCCAACTTCATCCCCATAGTTACCTCTTCCCAGTGCCCATCCCTCCATGCACTCCTGCACCCTGAGCTGTCTCCCTGTGCATAAGCAGCCCTTCTTTCTCCCATGATTGTTCTCTCCAAGGAGTGTATCTACCTGAGGTAAATGTTCAAATTA